AGTCTTTTTTTGAAAAAATTCTTCTTTTTATACCCCATTTGTGCAATACAAAGTATCTTCTGTATTTGGGATACCATTTGCTCATTAGCACTTTGTTCTTTCATGCAAGTATCTTCCCCGACAGAACAGGAGACAGCTTCTCCCAGGTGTCTGGTCACCATTTATTATCCAACGAATCTGAGACTAAAGCTGGAGAACAGCTCATGGGCCATGACCTAGAGACAGTTCAATTCAGTAGTTAGGGGAATTTCACATGAAATCTGAGTTCTGTAGACAATGTCTTGGCATGAAATATATCCTATCATATATCCTTTTTTCTTCAGACCCCTTCAGAATAGCTCCCTGTATCTATCTGCATCAACCCCCCTGCCTTGCTTACAAAATGTAAATGCTGATATGCTGATTTCCTTCCCTCTCCTGCTTCTCAACAATGAAACATTACATATAAAATGAGCTTACTGTGCAATGAAATTGCAATCCATTTCAAAGTGAATTGCATAAATCTCAAAATTAAACCTCTCTTAAATCTCTCCAGGTTTGAAATTAAGATCAAGCCATAAAATAATTATTTTGCTAATTTAAAATCTATGCTTTGTATTTCATTTATCTTACATGAAATTTCCTACAGTGGCACAGACAGGATGAACTGGTTGACCCATGAGATAGATTCTTAGAAGAGAAGCTTTTATCCCTCTCAGAGAGCAAGAGCAATTTCAACCCTGAAGGGAACAGTGTGGTGGTAGCAGCTTCCCATGCCCTGCCATGGTGCCTCTGTGCCTGCATCTGCCTGCCCAGTCCCATCCCTGCAGGGGAAACTCCTTAGTGGAAGGGCCTGAAGTCTGTGTGCCTCTGCCTCTCACCTGTGAGTCTCCCTGCAAATTCCTCCTCTCATCAAACTGTCTTTTCCCTGGACTGCCTTTGCAAGTCTTTCTCTGCCCAGCTATACTTTAAGATAGCTACAAAGGCAAGGGCTTTGTATCTGAGCTTTGGGTGACCCACTGGCCATCTGTCTCTCCTCACTCATTTTTTGAAAGCCTGCAATGAACAAATAGTATGATTAAAGGGCTGGGTTTCTAAACACCTGCCAAATGCAAGTCCTGCACTTTTAACTGCCAGCACTGCATTTAAAACCTTCTACACTAAGCTGTGAACAAATAGATTTGTTTAACAAACAAGTTCAACACAGGGATAAATCTGTCAGCCGTACATCATCTGCAATCTCTCTCTAATGAGAACATGAGGCTTTAAGACTATTCAGGATAACTTTCTGCTCAGCTGGTACACTAATGAGCAGCAATTTTTGCTCTCACAGAAAAGAATCCCTATGAGGATGAAAAATGTGTGTGCATGAGAGCTAACACAGAGATATTGAAGGTCACCAACTTCAGAAAACTTCCATTTTATTTCTTTGATTTTTTTTCTTCTGAAAGTTATTTTCTGTGCTTCTATTTAATTTATGACTTGTTTGACTAAATCAAGTTGAAAAAGGTTCTATTTATGTTTGAGATGGAAGGATTTCTTTTCAGAGGAAAAAAATCAGAAGCTTTTTTTTTTTTTTTCTAAGGAGTATAAGCACACTGAAATGTGAGTGTCCTTCTCTGCCTTGGTTCAATTCCCTAGATCACATTACCAGTGCATTCAGTACCAACACGATAAGATCAATGAAGAGGAAGGTGTTAATACTCTTTACCTCCATAGCTTCCTACATTTGGTGCTTCTCTGCCAGCGTCCCCTTTCATGCCTAAATTAGGACTGACCACCACCTCCTAACACATTTTTAAATGCCATCAAAATAGCACCAGAGGTGTTAGAATTGCCTGCTGCATCACAAAACTCCACTAATAAAGCTTCTCTTTCACTTCCTCCTGGCTGCTTGCTGTTCTTTTACAAAATGCCCTGCATCTGTCACTTGCAAATGATCCGTCATCTTTCCCAAAAAGGGATTAAGAGCAATCTATTTTGTAATTTTTTTCAGCCAGGAGATTCATCTCAGTACTTGTCCAATTTTCTGTCCAATTGGACAGTTCTCCATATGAGTTTGAAGTACATCTTGTTTGTTCAGCATCCCTTTGAAGTGATGTTCATTTCTCCAATTTCTCTGAGATGTTACCATTTGGAGATGGTAACAGCATAAACTCGTTGTAATTTACACTGGCAGAGAAAACCCCTTATTTATACTTCAGATCTGTGTCCAATATACAAAGATTAATACTAAACAAAGCTCATCTTGTAGTCAAGCGAGTTTAGGCTTTCTCACCTAGAAGCTCATACAGTAGCTCTGTTGCAGCTTCAAACATAAGCACTGCTGATAATTTTGACTACTTACTTTCACCTCTCTCCGGAGTTTCCCAGGCTAGCCTGTTCTTACTTTATTGAATGCCACAGAGAAGCTAAGTGTTTCAGAAAGCTAGATTTCTAGCATTTCAATTATTTATTTTTTCTCAATTTTTAAATGCAAATTATCAATATCATTATAATACCCTCATAAACCCTAAGATGGCATGTTATTTTACAGATACCAGCCATGAAAATACTGCAATAGTGAGTAATAGGGCAGGTTTTCATTACACTTTTCTTAATATTCCTTGCCATTACATGCTGTAATTAGTTAAATTTAGTATAGGGAGGATGTGTGTTTAAATATACCCTGATGAACATGGCTTCCGGGACTTAAATAGTAGTGCAATCTTCCCTATTTACTCTAGCAGATATTTTTAGTGCTGCTGCTCACTAGTTTTTAACCTAACTTCAGAACAGAGTCTTAAGATAACATTCCTTCTCAGTATTTTTGTTGCAAATTTTTCAGCTTCTATGGCATAGTTAGCAAGTATTTGCTTACAATGAGCCAAAAAATACTTATCTAATGTTACATAGAGAAAAGCACCACATGCTTGGACAGTTGAGGACATACATATCTGCAATGCTTTTTCTCCTGCCCTGTGGTGAACAGCTACTCTTCTCTACATCATTAAAGTTGCTATTTTTAAGCCTTTAATTAAGAGTCCATTTTAAAACAGGGTGTGCCCAACTATATTATGGGTATTTTCTCAAGCACAGTACAAACACAAGCAACAAATAGCACAAAATTGAGAAACAAAGCCCCAAACATTAAATGCCTGATGAATTTGGTACCACCTGATCTGATCAAACCTCTGGTAGAGGAGTCTTTAGCTAGCTCACTAGTGAAAATAGAGATGTAGCTACACAGGTGTTCATGCAGTTCTCAAGGAAGCTGAATTAAAATAAAAATTAAAACACACACGGACTAAAGGAGAAAGCAAAAATATCTACCCTATGGCTATATGGCAGTCAAGACTGATAGAGGTTTAACAGAATCTGAAAAGCAGGCAGTCAGAGAGCAGTTAGACATGTTTGACAATTAAGTAGTGACTTGGTCACCTAACACTAGTTAAATAGGATAACCAGATGGTCTAGAAGGGCTTTCTGCGTATATGAAGGGATCAGAAAGATACATTACAAGGAATTAGCAAGCTAAGCTCACCTATGAAATCTAATATTAATGAAACCATAATTATTGGCTCAAGCTTTATATGTGGTTTTATTCCAAAACAAAATATGGAGCTGAAAGGACTTGTTATACCAATGCAGCCCACTAGAGGTCAAGTTACAACCAGGAGTTTAAAATATATGTAGTAATGAAGGACAAAACTTAGGCCACTGTCCTCATGTATTATAGATTCATTCAGGGTGCCACATGTATCACAAATCCTTTAGATCTTTTGTTTAGAACCAACAGAAAAAACTCTTAATACAATGTCTGGTGTACAGAGATACAAAACAGATTAAGTAATTGTTCCCATAATCCATTAATTAGATGGATTGGATTATTGGACTGGAGAAATTTTCCTTCATAAAATAACATGGTATAAAGACTGTAAATTCAGGTTTAGACCAGTTATGATGCTTAAAAACAGTGATAATGGCAAGCTAAACTAAAACCAAACCCTCAAGACTTGATATGTCTGATACAACAGAAGAACTTTAATCCCTCTGTATAAAAGACACTTAGTATCACACATCTGATAATACAGAACAACTACATCAGAATCTTATCAAACAAAGCATATGTAAATACATATAAATACAAACTTGACAAAAATGGAACATCTCCATGCCTAATCAGAAATCCTGTAATAGCACACTGTGAATGCAGAAAGACTGTTTTAGATTTGAGTGGTTTCTAAACATTTGATATCTTGAGTGTATGATGTCCAGATACAAATCAAAGGTATCTCGTGAACGCCCATCCTCTGTGCAGTAGGAGGCTCATCTAATAGAGCTGTCAGTCAGCTTTGTAAAGCTCCAATCTAAACTTATCCATTTCCCATGTCATTCTTTCCACTTGGAGAAACAGAAATGTTTGCAATTACAGCCTTCTGACTGCAGAACAGTTTCCTGACACATAGGTAGCCTCTAATCTAAAGCATCTATCCAGTAAATTTCCACTTAAAATTTTACAGGAAATGGCAGCAGCTAAGATGATGTCCCCAGACCAGGGTAAGAAGAGATGAGCAGTGAAAAACTGTGCTTGCTCACCTATTTCTGTGAAGAATCACAGTAAACAAACAAAAAGAACCCCAAACAAAATCTCCCAAAACCACAAGAACAAAACAATAAAGGTCAGCTTTTGCCTTCCACTTCTGTACAGGAAGGAGACAGTTAATGATTAGACTGCATCATATCAGAGGTGCCCTCTGAATGATTCAAATTGAGCTGGAAGTTGTGTCACATTTTCTGAATACCCATGAAGAGATACATAATCAGTGTCAGCCTAAAGATCACAGTATATACCCCACAGCCACTGGATTAAACTGCTTTCGTCTACTCTTTCTGCTTCACTGGCTCCAGATGCTTAACTCAACTTCCACAGTAACAAAGGTGGCATAAGGCAACTGCACAAATAACACGGTTATCTTTGGATTATGTACTAAAATAATCAGTGCTCCCCGAAGACTCCAAGTTGTTTTACTACATCTCACCTCCTCAACCATATGCTTGACTTTCTTCTGCTGGCAGTGGACCATGTCATCCAGATGCTTGATCCGCTCTCTCAGGCTGGCTGCTACCTCCTCCAAATGCTGTGACCTGGCAAAACATGCAAGAATCAAGCCTGTAAGTGGGGAGCTATGCAGTATTAGCAGAACAAGAACAACCCCCACAGTCCACCATAAATCAGGACAAGCAAGTCAAATTGCACCGACAGATGTCAAATTGTCCAAAGTACATTTTAATGTGATCTTAGTCCAAGTGGCTGTCTCCACCCAAGTTATCTCACCTTTGTCTTGCATACTGACATGCTTACTCAGAGCCTGAAGTGCTGACAATTAAACAATGTGACAAAACCCGTCTCAGTGAAAGGCTTTTAGACAACTAGATCTTTAGCTTCAGAGAGAAACATTTATCGTGACATACTACTACCTGCAAATATCTTGGAAATGTATGCTAAACAAAAGCCAAGAAGCAGATCTGCTTTCAAAGCTGTCTTACTGCAGGGGAGCCTTGAGTCAAGAATTTGGCAGAGCTGCCAACAGCAGTAGAATGCTAACTGGAATAGTATTAACTCCTCAACAGTCAGCAGGAATGCTATGAATGGTTTAAATTTGTACTCTTCAGATAGATTCTGTATTTCTTCAAATCTGTTTAATACAGAAAGTAAACTCCCACAGAACTCCTGACACAAGTTGGTTTGGCAGCTTGTCAGAAAAGTAGCTGTAGAATATGCAAGGAAACAGGAGTGAAGCTTTTCCATAAGTTTTTGTCTCTTTGGACATGGAGTCTCCATTGTTATCTGAATGTCCAGTTCTTAAAATTTGTCAAAGAAAGCAGTCGCTTGCTTAAAAAATAAACTGCGGTACTCCTAGGTTCAGGATTGGACAGAATTTGAGAATGGGAGGAGGGGAATCAAAAACAAAAAGGCTTTTTTCATCTTGGTCTGTGCACAGCAGAAAAAAAACTGTAAAAGCTGCAAATAGAAAAACCATTCTAAGACAAAGCAGCAGATGGCAAACTGTAAGACATGATTCCAGTGAATGACTGAATTGTATGCTGCTTCCCCCCAAAAGAGTCACTATTAACAGTGAAGTACTCTGCAGAAATGTAACTGCAGCACTTTGACAAGGACTCAAGAAATTCAAAGCATTGCTGCAGGTTTTTCAGTTGTGCATATTAAAGTCTGACAAAACTTTATATTTTGATTGCAATTGTAGCACATATTTTGTAGCTCATTGGAAGATTCAGGATCTTAAACATTGATATCATTGGAGAAATGAAATAGACATCCTTCCTAAGGTGGAGCTCAAGTGTCTGATAAGATACAGACAGGCAAGGACAACTTAAGAATAAACCAGCATCATCTAAACACAGATTCATTGCTTGCATGGCATAGATTGCAACTCTAAGTTTGCTTGCATTGCACAAATTTCTGCTTGAACACTGCCTTTACCCTTTTACTGCAGTGTAACTTTTCACACTGAAAAGGATTCACTGAAGCAAGAAGAGTGTGTGTTATTCAGAGGTAAAGGAAAACAGCAATTATCTTTCCTCTCCATATTCCATGTTATATGCGAGCGACATCTGTTCACTTGAAGTTATTATTTTAACAGGCTGCTGTGAAAAGCCATTCTTACCCTGAAACCAGAGAAGCTGGTCACAGATCAATACAAGGCACTGAGAAGTTCTCAGCAGGGACCTCCTTTCATGTTTATGCTTCCCAAAGAACAGCAGGATGCCCAAAACCTTAAAACTGAATTTCTGGGTGCCACAGAACCATAAGTAGTAATCAAGTACTATTGTTCAGTCTGTGGTTATAATTCATCTTTACCCACTCAAGCAGTGTCATATAAACCTTTGAGTTTAGATAGTGAAAGTATTCATAGTCAGGATCATATTCCTCTGAATTTGGGAATGCAGATTTAAAATGCATGCCACAGATATGTCACAGCTTGTTATGTCTACAATGGACTTGGCACATTTGCAAACAACTTTTCTGAAAAGATGCATGAAGGTCATCGTTGCAAAATATAATTGTTTCAATATTTTACATGTAAATAAACCTACATTCAGATGAACAATCCCTACCAGACTGCAGTTTTAACATTAGAAAAGGCAAAATTCAGATGAATTGAAAAGACAAAAACAAAAAAAATCCTGAAATTTCCTAGCAATAGAAGAAGTTCCACAGGCAAGTCATATCTCACCTTTCACTGTTGGAGTTGTTTTCAGATTTTGCTCCAGATATTTGTCGTTCATTTAATTCAAGTTGTTTTTGCAGCTGGTGACGTTCCTAAACAAGAAAAGTTATCTTTCAGTTCTCCATGTATCAGAATGTAAAGGCTTCACAAAGTGTATTTCATTGCAATTCAAAACAAGACTTGTGAAATTAAAATAGAAACTGATTAAACAAAATTAATGCATTTTCTATAGCCAAGGAACACAGAATACATAATACTAAAATAAATTTCCCAGCTATGCATGGACACAAGATCAGTTTTCAATTTCCTATATGAAGATGTACAGTTGTACTTGAAACAGAATTTTTTCAATAAAAAGATGAGTCATCAAAACCTTTACATAAATGTCAAATTGTCTACATTAACACTCCAAAAATCCAAGACTGAGATAAAAGGTATTTCTGCCTTTTCTTCACCCCTGTTTATTTTTAAGTGCTTGTAAAGATCTGTGAGGACTTGGGGTCTGAGTCAAACAAGTTAACAGAGAAGTGTAAATGTGTTATCCACCTTGATGGCAATTTTAGAGGCATTCAGTCTCACTGGGTGAGTATCAGCCAGATAAGAGCAGATTAAAGAACTAATGTGAAGGAACTCATTTGTACTTGTGAACTGCACTGCAATCCTACATTCAGTGCATAATACTTAAAACTTGTAGGCTGAAGCCCAGATTAAGTTAATGGAGCCACTACAGGGGCACATTAAGCTGAGTAATTTCTCAGTGTAATCATTAAGTCTATTAATGGATTTGCAAGCATTAGACAAAGGGGGCTCAATGCACATTGGACTAACCAGTCAAGCCAACAAGTCTGGCTTATAAAAACGTATTTCTCAGCAGATACTGATAATAAATATGTATTACAATAAAGTGAAATTGGTGAACAAAACCACTTCATTTGAAAGAGCAGAAGACTCCCTCCACTGACTAAAACACTCTCTGCTCCTGTATTTGAGATAGTGACGCATGAATCTTTAAAGATAATGAGATGCCTGCCATTGAATGAAATGAGAAATGCCAAAGTACATCCAAGACCATTTCATTGTCACTGCAGCCAAGGCTGCCCTTGAGCTTCACATTCCCCAGCTCCTCCTTGCTGGTGAGAACAAGGTCCAGAACAACACCTCTCCTCACTGGCTCCTCTATCAGCTGGAGAAGGAAGTTATCATGAACACATTCCAGGAACCTGGACTGCTTATGCTCTGCTGTGTTGTCCCTCCAAATGATGTCAGGGTGGTTGAAAATCCCCATGAAGACCAGAGCTTGCAAACAAGAGTCTGCTCCCATTGTCTGTAAAGGGCCTCAGCCTTTCAGTCTTCCTGGCTGGGCAGACCCCACTCTAATGTCACCTGTCCCTGCCCTCCCTTTAATCCTGACCCTGTAGGTTCTCCACCAGCTTCTTACCCATCCCCAGACAGAGCTCTGTGCACTCTATGGACCTATCACAACAACATCTCTAAGAGACTCTAGGTCATTTATGATTATTACTTGATTAGGCTTAGGACACCTTGCACACTGAAGGGACACAGAATGGTTTTTAAATTCTCTTTTATCACAGGGTCTCTATGGCAGTCCAGGTGCATTTACTGATATAAATACAGTAACTAAGATGTAGAAACAGCAGTGGTATGTCACTGAGCAGGGAACTGAGCAGCAGAACAATAACACGTGAAATTTCCTCCATGCATGTGTGCATTTCTTCTCAAGGCAGCAATCAGCTCTCATACCTCTTCCATGCGTTCAATCAGCCGGTCCAGCTCACCAATTCTCTGGTCTTTCTCCTGTATGCTTGTTTCTGTAATCTGCATCTTCTTATTTGCCTCCTCAATAGCCTTCAGAAGCCGATTTGTTTCCTCCTACAAACAAGAACATTTACAGTCCCATTATATAATAATTATATATATTAACCTGGAATATTTCTTCTTCTTTTCAGCTATAGAGCCATGCTAATAGCTCTTAAGGAGATCAAAGCTTTTCACTACACCTGCTCAGAAATCTGGAGGAGTTATGACCCTAAAAGTGAATTATATAGAGCAAAAGATTGGGGGTACTTTGAAATACACAGGCATTAGTAAAGCATTATTATGACAATCCAAGAAAAACTTCTACCCATTTCTGAGATAGCTGATTTCCCTTCCTTTTCCCTGAGGATGCTGTTAAATAACAGCATGAGAAAACTATGATGCTGCAAAAGACAGCTTTCTAAACACCATAGTTGGCCACATTCAGCTTTGTACTTTCCTTACATGTAAAGCATTATGAATAAAAAGGAGCATCTATCTTCAATCTCCATCATTATCTATCTTTATAATTTAAAAAAATACAACAACTGACTACTCATAGAAAGGTTTAACTTGAGGGGGAGGGAAATTGGGGCACAGGGGAGTTCTTGCTCCAGCAGCATCCAGTGAAGTTGTTCCCTTTCTCCTTCTTAAATTCACTTAAAATTGGATATTGTATTTTCCTTTTATAGAGAATCAGAAGTCTAAAAAAATCTAATTACCCTATTTCAGATTTTGAAATCTAGATTATCATTGACATTACTATGCTTGAACACATATTTTTCTTATTTCTACAACCCCAAAAGTTTGGAAAGCTTAGTAACTATGGCATGACTAATCACAGAGACAGAAGCAAAGGAACACACGTCAACTCCAGAGAATGAAGCGATTGAGAAACTACATCCAAGCTAAGTACTGCTCTTACAGACTGGCTGTACATACCAGGAGCATTTCTTTCTCAGCCTTGTGTTTCTGTTCCTCTTCTCGCATTTTTTCCTCATACTGACTATACAGCTTTCTGGTCATCTCTCTCATGACTTCAGCATTGGCTTCCTGTGATGATTCCACCTATGAGAGAGGAAGGTTGCCCACAGAAGGAAGAGAGCTCACATGATGAGAAAATAAAGAGTTTGGTTAAGCTCCCCCTTGTTATAAATCTGACGGTGCAAAAGTAGATTTCCATTTGCATCAAGGCCATTTACAGCATTCTGCCAGTTTTCACATCCTTTGAATCTGTAGAAGTTACTGTTCCATCAAGTTCCATGTTGTCTGAATTAAGCTCATTTAATCATTGCTTATCCAAGATCAGGCCATGCCTCTTTGCTGAACCTTTCTATAACAGCCTCCAAGTCACTTGGCTTGTTTCCCCATTGAAACAATACTGTCTCCCCCCACTCTACTGAAGCATGGACTAGAGATGGACTACACTCAGCTCCTGTTTCTAAATGACCATGAACACTCAAAGCAATACTTTATTGCAGTACCCTCCCTGCTCTCTCTTGGTTTCATTCTTTGGAAAGGGATGAACCCTGAAGGACTCCACTTTTACTGCAATTGTTCCCTTTGTGATCCCACCTAGGCCAGCCCTGGGGCACAGGTAGTGACCTGCACTTTATGAGGGGGTGGAGTTTAATGAACCTTCCAAATTTCAGGAAGCCTGAAAGAATAGTATCATTTAGAGAAAGCCAATTATTAAACCACAGATTCCATAAGATACACTGAACTGGAATAGGATCTCTGGCCTTTTATTTCCATCATTCCTTTCCTTATACCTTGAGCAATAAGGATAATAAAAGCAAGCATTAAAAAGTGGATGTATCAGAGCATCTGTAATAATACACTTAAGCAACATCTTTACTCATAAGTTATTACAGATTTATGAATAAACCAAACCTCCTTAATAAGCCCCACAGGTGTGTTGTGTTCTCCACCCAGAATGTAATCACAGTACACAGTAGTTACACCAGCCTCCTAGATCCCTCACCATCCTCTTACATTCACTCCTAGAATGAATTCCTAGATGTCTTGGTACTTTTTGAAACACTATTTTATATTTAACTGTCAAAGACAGTAATGAGGTATATTATTCACCAACTTGGTACTAAAACTGAAAATGTGAGGGCAGAATTTACACTTCTGCTGTGTAAATGCAGGGCATGTATTCTGCAGAGCTTGATATGCTTGAAGATAAACAAACCTTTACACATTCAGTTGAACTGAGACTTAAGCTGCAGTTCCCTGCTCTGAGAAGCAGGCATACCTCTTTCCCTAACTTGTTGGGGCATGTCCTTAACATCATAGTGAAGCCCAGATTTCTGTTTTAGAATCTTAATTGCATCATCTTTGCTTCTGTTACTTGGCTTTTCCCTCTTTTTATTTCCTGCTGACAACAGCAGGTGCAAAATACAGCTACTTTTATAGGCTGTATATATTTTCCTCACTGTGAGAGGAAAGCAGAACATGAAGGGCACTTACGTTTTCCTGTTTAACCATTCATCATTAAGCATGAGTTCTAGTCACAAGCAAAACAGCCAGAAAGAAACATCTTCTCTGACAAAATTAAACATGAATATAACTGCAGTCACCTCAACTTCAGAAACTTTACCAAAAATAATAAAAATTTTCAAAATTTGACAAATTCTGATTTAGTACTATATGCAAATTGGTCTACTTTGAGCAATTTTAACAGAGACAAAGGTTTCTGGTTTGGGGGATGGGATTTGTTTTATTTGGGTTTTTTTGAGATTAAAGGAATACATTTGGCTGATGAGGGGAGAACATGGTCAAGCTTTCTGTCATATTAAACCTTGCAGTTTGTGTTCTATTCCCTTGCATTTCTTTGAAAGAAATAGCTTAACTCTCTTTTGAAGACGCTTGCTGTTACCTGCTGACCACAAGCTCATAAGACTCAACTGACTACCTATTAAAAATGGTGCAATACCAAAGAAACTCAACACCAAGAAATTAATGTAGCAATGTGTAGAGTTGTAATATTCCTTCAATTAATAGGAATGGATGCTAATAACCACTTAATGGTTTGAATTTTCACCTGTCAACATCTTTGACTCTTATGTTATGTCCCATGTTATGGGAAGACTGCCTGTCGCCAGCTCAGATTCTTCCTTATTAAACCAGTATTGATTCACAGGAATAAGTGAGCTTGAGGGCATGACAAGGGCATGAAGAATGAAGAACCCTTTACAGATAAGGCCAAGGAATTAATTTAACATCCACCTAATGTCTTTACTGTGCAGTATTTTTAGGGGAGTTTATATACCACACCTTTAATTTCAGTAACTGATTTTCAATTTGTGCCGTTTCCAGTTGCTTTTGCTTTTCTCTCAGCTTTTCCATAGATTGCTCATGTGTATGTTTTAAATTCCTTATTTGTTCCCTTATGTCAGTGTTCTCCAATGTAACATCCACTAGAGTTTTCTAGGAGAAAGAGGCAAAGCACATATTAAAAATCAGAAATAATTTGATAAATTAATATAGGCAAGAGATTATGAAACAGACAGCACATTTAATGAGCTTTCTGACATATTAATGCAGCGTGAACAGTTTTGCAAGTTTTAACATTTAAAATTATGTCTTTTGTTGTTGCTAGAAGGTATTTCCATGAGGAGTATGCTCAGTGAAATCAACTCCTGGAACACTACTAAAAAACAAAAAGGAACACAGATAGATTTCAGTATGAATAATCTTCCCTTCTCTCCAAGGGCCATGCCATACATACAAAATGCAGTGGACTGAAAACAGAAAAGTAATGTACAAGAATGTAACATACTTGTTACATACAAGAAAGCAGGGACATTAAGTAGTTCAGTTAAGATAAATGAGAATTTTGATGTCTTTATAAAGAAAATTAATTCCCACCTTGTCCCTCCCCCTGCATTTCACAGGTATATAAAATCTCACAAGTGTCTCCAAACATGACACTTAATTTCTGTTACCAGCTGAAGGCGGAACTAAGTCAGTAGATGCACCATTTTGCACTACACAGACCAAATCACATCTTCACCTTAGATCCTTCATAGAGACATGACTTGTGGTATTAGTCTGCTGCATATCAGTATCTCTTTATATCACTTTATTGTACACTATTTTTAATGGTTTTTTTAAACACAAGAACTTCTGGAACATTTTTGTTTCCTAAATCAGGTGCTTTAGATATCCACGACAGTACTTCATGGTGTTGCTTAGTGTTAGAATCTGTATCTGTCATCCATGTTTTCTGTATGCTTTGAAATCCATATTAGAAAAGGCAGCTATGAGCTGGGAAGCAGCTATGAAGATGTACCTGCAAGTCTATTGATGCTGATGTCAAGGAGCTGTTCATTTCGCTAAAGCTATCTAAGGCTGCAGCCTGCACTCGCACATGATTCTCTAAGGATTCCTGATGAGCATTTGTCACCTGAGCAGGGAAAAAAAAAAAAAAAAAAAAAAAAGAAGTTTTATATAGAATAATGATCAAGTTTACCTATTCTTTCCAAGAGAGCTAGAGAAGAGAAAGACACCAAGGTCGTTTTCACGGTACTAGGATGCTTAAAATATACAGGCTTCAAAGTATATTCTCACAAACAAAGAAACAAAACTTATAATTCAAATAATCTAACAGAAATTGGGCACGAGTATCTAAATTTATTGTTAGTCCGCAATCATTGTATAAGCTGTTCTTCTTGAAAGGACAAGAGGACAATTGGCAGTTGTCCATTCAGAAATATTATATACATAGAGTGGGCAGATTGTAAAAATTCAGAGTGAAAAGCAGAAGAATGCAAGAAATAAGGAAGCCTAGAACTGTGAACTGTAGAAAAGCCTTAATTAACAAGGAACTGACTAATCAGGTACATAAAGAAGCAACATCAAGAAGACGTAAGGATGAAACGGTACAAAGCAGGGAGGGGAAGCCAGAGGGCTTTGTTGTGTGAAAATTAGTCATTTTCTGGTATGTACACACACACATGCTAAAAAACTGAGGGGGGGAGCAGTGGTGAAGACACAAAATGACATCATTCAAGAAGAGACCAAAACCCAAACAGTGTAAATAATTACAAATGATCCAATAATAAGGAGGAAAGGAGTGTTACTAATGGAAGCCAGCCCAGCTCACATTCTTAGATGGATCAGATTTGTTTCTTGATAAAAACAGAAGAGCACCAGGGACTGATACAGGGGACAAGTGTGTTGTAACCAAGTCATACACAGATTAGGTCAGCATAGGGAGCAGAGGCCAAGTAGTCACCGTTAAACTTCTATAAACGTGTGCTCATGTAAAACAAATGAAAGCAGATATGCTTTGGATGGATTAAGAAGGTTACAAGGTAAGAACTTGTGTGAAGAAGCCCAGGGCAGGATATTGGAAGAACAAATTTCAAACAAACTTTATGAACAAAAAGTTGTCCTGGAAATAGGTAAGATAAAAGCACAGTGACTGAAAGCCGAAGAAAAGAGTATAGAAAGGATTTTAAACAGGAGTCGCAAATAGCACAAAAGACAACAATAGTCATATAAAACCATAATCAGCTCCCAAATAACTAACCAAACAAAAAGTTCATGTTATTAGGAAGAACAACACTTGTGCTTCCTTTCAGGCAGTTTAGAGTATTAAAAAAAAAGAGAAGGATGTTTCCTAATGTGCCATTTAAGTCAGAAGGAAGCTTCATGAACTGCAAATTTTCTGCAGAACTAGATATTCTGACAGAGCTGGTCAGAAACCCTTAATTAAGGAAGAATTTCTGACTCATGCAGGATTTCTACTGGTCTGACAGAAGTTCTGGAAGTGCAGGATATCATCACTGCTATTCAGTGAAGATCAGCAGCAAAGACGACAAAGCTGCACCTGAATCAGCATTTACTACATGCATGCTGGGAAGAGAGTCACTCTTGTTGGTAGCATTATGACTATTTAACTCAATTTCTGCAAACTGTGTTTTCTCTCTTCCCCTCAAGTCAGGGGGATTTTTTTTCCTCTTTTTTGAGACCAATTGCACAGAATGAAAGTAGCAGTTTACAGCACATTCTGATTTTTGTACCTAATACAGCATGCAGGGAACTGACAACCTCCAAATGAGAATGGCAGAAGGGCATGTCAAGGTCACAGTCCCTTGAAGTCAGAATACTTTTAATTGCCAAAGCTTCCTCTGAATCAGGGATGTGAAAATCAATGCTTAACATAAATTCAAAGCAAATTTTCAGGGAGACTTTTTGGATCAAACAACTCAGCAGTTTAATATGAAGGCTATTTTTACAGAGTGCAAAACCTTTTATTGCTAAAGCAGCATGTCAGAAGAAAGGTCATTGAATGACCATTGAAATGTTCCGTTAAAAACCAAAAGGTAAGTAATTCTTAGCACTTTAATACTAATGAATATTGCTACTTCTTTTACTTAGTGTTTAAGCAATAGGTTCAGTAAAACAGAGCAAAGTGTTGAAATGACTCAAAGTTATCTGTTTTTCCTAATTATCAATATTATTTATTCGGTTCACCTGGAAGCTGTTACATCCATCTCCATTATTAACCAATACACACAGGCAATGGTCTCAAGATCATTCTTTTATTTCCAAGAATTTCCAGCCAGTTACTAATTTCACATGCAAAAGCATCCCTATCCTGCTTTACCTTCCTGGATGGAAAAATAAATTAAGAAAAGAAATTACAGATGTCATAATACAGTAAACTGGAGTGACTGGAGTGGTTTGGGAGATGAGTTCTGTTCTGCTAAAGTAAAAGAAATTTCTAGACAACACTGGGACAGTTACTCCCATTTGCTTTCCCTGCAAATGAATGGATACTTACTTTCAGTTCATTTGTAAGCTGCTGTATTTTTCGTTTCATTTCATCATATTCACCATACATTTTCTTTCTTACTTTTTCCAGAGTTGCTCTCACCTGGTGTCAGAAAAATCAAACGCCTTTGTCAAAAATTTGGATTATACTATTTATTCAGTAGGACATGATTTTTTTTCTCTATGTTCTTCATTGTCACTCTCTGTAATTTCCATTGTTAATCTATCTCTGCATAACAGCAATTTTTTCTCAAGAAAAAGACAAAAACTTAAGTCTCAAGACTTGTCTACATAGGCATGATACAAATAACTGTCGCTATGAGTAATTCTAAACTTCTCTGTACATGCTTAAACACTTGCAAATGAATAATTTAAATAAATTCATTTAAATTAAATATCCATAAGTCATTCTAACTTGATTACTAAATGAAATTAATAACTAAATTAAAATTAATTTGATCATTATTGTTTTATTTCTGAAAATAAGGCACAGACTTAATATACACCCATACTTTTAAAAGCGGTTGGTTTCCCCTGGGTATCCATTGCAGATAAACACTTTCAATTTCAGTCTTTTAGACTTGTATCTAACTAAACAACAAAGTAGCTTACATTTACCAATGCAATTTCAAATGTGAAGAACAGAGAACTCAATTTGATTTCAAGAACCATGGATGTAAATTATTCCTTGCCTTTCTAGAAAAGAACCCTCAAAAAAACCCCAAGCTGGCTTCCAAGTTTGGAAGTTTGGAAACCCCAAGTTTGGCTTTACATGCCACTGCAATTATGTTTCTCTACAGTCTACATAATTCAACCTCTTTTTTTTCCCCTTCCTCACCTCTTACCAAACACAGGCTGGTTGCAGATCATGTAGGGCAGTGAGTTTACTGTGTCTGCACAGTGGGGCAAGGTAAATTTCAGCAGGGGATGTTTTTAGCAGCTCTGCACAGAATCCCCACCACTGTCTCCCAGAAAGAGGGGCACTGGCCACCAAACCTATACAAGGAGTGATCCCAAACCACCCTTTGGGATGAGGAAGAGAGAAGGGAGCTGACTCCTGCCTGGCATGTCAGGAAAGAAGCACTCACCCTGTGCCTCCCCATGCACAGGCACACTCTCTTGCAAGATGCAAATTTGACTCAGGCAGAGGAAGCTGTCAGCAGCTCTGACATGGCCCATCATTTTTGGTCTATTTGAGTCAGCACATATACAGCACAAGCTGAGGACTCTTGTTTAGGATTCTGCTTTTAAAGACAACACTACTCTGGCAGACCAAAGATCACAAATTAGCAAAGCTGAACACAGCTTTCCAGAAGATGGAAGAGCAAAAGACAGCATGGTTCTTCCCATGTCTTTCCCACTTTTTCCTGAAAGCATCAGTACCCTGAATGCACAAGCTGTTCACCTGGTCTGACGTGTCCCTCCATAAGGGACAGACAGGGGCAGCAGGGAGATGGTCTCAGCCCAAGCAATCCCCAGGTACCACAGACAGGGCAGTGCCAATTCACCTGCCCCTTGAACCACTCCAGCAGGGCAGAGAAACTACCCAGGCAGGAAAACAATAGCCAAAGCAGCTTGTGTGCCTCGCCAGCACTGCAGCACTGACAGACCCTGCCAGTCCCTAACCTCAGCAGCTTTAGAGTGGTGAACTCCGCGGAGCACACATGATTACAGTGCTTTACACTGCTCCATTGACTCAGGGTTCCTCCCTTGTCTATCAACCCAGTTTGCACTTGAATCAGTGTAACAGGATAAGCACTGGCCAACAGCCTCCTGGGTGGTGATGGTGGATGGAAAGAGGTCAGATGATTTGCCCTGAGGTAATTAGGGTGTTACTGCCACAGTCTGAGAACCCATGGGCAAAGAGATGCTGAGTTTCAAGAACAGAAAAATCTCAAGCAGATCAGAAATGCAGTTTTTGTTTTTCAGGAGATCTTCTGCCAACTGAGATAAATGAACAGGCACAGAGAAAGTAGTACAAAGACATCCTTATTAGGCTGACTATTTTAAGGCTGCCCGAAAATATACCCAAGTGATTTTACTATGTCACCTAATTTAGAAGCCTTTTCAAAGCTGGAGAGTTTGGGGACGGGTGAAGCAGAGGAAGAGAGAGACTTCACCCTTTCAGGTGTCTGCTTACATAGTTTCTTCCATCAGCAAGCACAGTTCCCAGGTATAGAGCATGCTTTTTTCCCAACTCAAATACTACCAAGGCCAGCATCTAGCTTCAGAGTAGGTTCCCAGTTCAAACTGAGCTGTTGGTCTAGATATCAGTCATCCCATTATACTCTCACAGCTTTACATGGATATGTGGAAAGGGTATTTGACAAATTTTGAGGTGAAAATGTAACTCACTTCTTTAATGTAATTCATCTCCTCTTTCAGCTGGTCAGCTGACCAGCCATAAACCACCATTTCTCTCTTATGGTTGTTGTCAGTTCGGTGCACAACACCATACACCATCCCATGAGAGAGCTTCCCTGGAGACATCCCATTTGGTACATGGTAGAGCTCCTAAAAAAAAAAAAAAGTCAGTACTAGATTAAAAAAAAACCTGAAAAAAACCACAGTAACTTAGAGCCAGGAGAGACACCAATTGTAGTGAAAGCACAGCAGTACATATGAACACTAACTCCCTAGCAGTTTGGAGCCAACCTATCAGCCTTCATGTTTTTGGAAAGAACAATGACCAACTTATAACTGATAAAGAAAACAGAGATGTCTGATTACCACTGCCTTCAATGGAAGTCATGTAGGCACAGCTAGAGACAACAGCTGGATTTGTACAAGGAGAGGGAGAGGCATGTAAGAAAAGGTTAACCTGGCTTATTTTCATTCAATGATGGTACTTTTCTGCATTCTTGCAGAGCACTCAGGTCTCTAGTTCCCTCTAAACTCTTGCAACCACAGAATTATCCCTCATTTCCCAAACTCCTTGCTGCAGGAAACAAAAATTCACAAGTTTACTCAAAAAACATAGAAAGCGCTAAGAAACTGAAATTAAAACCTTTTAGGCAGTGTTTTTTAAAAGAGAAAATATCTGTTTCTCTTGATAAACAAAGCAGAATTTCAGTTTGTATTTAAAGTTAATTAAGAACCTCCAAAGCAATCAAACTCATTTCAGGTCTCCATTTCTTTAACAGATGTTGCAGAACTGACATTGGAAGAGTTACAGCAAAGCTATGAAATAGCATTTATGTGGGTGTTCCTGTGTTATTAAGTACTGTAGAAGGATGAACCTTCTAAATCAGGTCTTGCTATGTAAACAGAGGTTGTTTTAAAAAGCCAACATTTTTTATTTGAATGATCTGCAGAAATTTGTGAAATGTAATAATCGCGTGTCTTGCTTCAAGCCACCCTTCACAGGCTTCTCTTGTTCATCTCATCAATACACTTCATAAGGAAAATATTCATGCAAACAGCAGGAATCATTTCCCTCAACATGTAAATGAATATCCACAAGCTCAGATCATCACCTGACCTAGCTACTCACCTCTCCTCCCTCCTAATCAGCCCAGGGAAACATCCTTCTGTCTCAAGCACCTGAAATGAGTCAGGCCTCAGAACTACTCATTTCTCTTCTTGATTACAAGGAATTTAAACAACTACCTCAGATGAAGACATCCACATTATGACTTTTTTTAAAAAGGGGAAAATATTCTTACTGAATGTGAAATATTTGCAAGCTAGGAACCTAAAAATAACCAGTGATTTCTGAATGGAAAGTTAGAATGAAAAGTTAGGAAACACAGCTGTTACTGATAAGCTTTGCACATTGTTTTTTAAAGGTAAGCTCTAGAAAAAAATCAGGTATAGATGATTTTACTGATCTTTCTTATGCTGGATATACCAGGTACAGGTACACTTGAGGACAGTTACTACATTGACTTTAGAATATGTTTTGGTTTGGGTTTTTTTTTTCCTAAGCACTGTCTAAACTCTCTTTGACATCAGAGGCTTAAAGAGACAAAGCTCAGCATGGTATATCCGTCTGCAGCTGCATCCTAGAGATCCCCAGTCCTTACCATGATGGTGAAGAGAGGACACCATCTGCAGCCTAAAGCAGCAGCACTCAGTTTTTAGGAGCCAAACCAACACAGCTATGCTGGCAATATACGAATAAATTCTTCTTTAGGCAAGGGGAAAATGAACAGGAAAATTTACTTGTATTAAGAAAAATTGATAGAGACAGACATCTGTTTTATATTGTGTCCTTTCCACATGGCACTGACAGATTTTCCTCAACACTGTAAATCCTACACGCTCTGCCTTTATCACATCATTAATAGTATAACCACGTTGCTGAAACTCTGGGTGTATGTGTGTGCAGGGCTGTGAAGAGAACAATCACAAAGCAGACACCTGGTAAAGAACATTTTAGGCACAGAACAACAAAGCTGTGAACCATCCTGAAAAGTGAAAAGAAAGCTCTAAAACCACTTAATGAAGAAAACATCGGGCAACTAGCCCTACTTTTACATGACATAATTTTGCACTTAAGCTTCATATCCTCAAAATGAGATGTTTCATAATTATGTATTATTGGGGGTTTTGTTTTGCTGTTTCGATGCGCAAAAACAAAAGGCCTACACTTTATACTTAGATAACAGAAACCAGATAGGGACATGACTCAAAATTATTTTGTGTTTGTTTGCTTCCAGGTTTGTACAGTTTCTTTCATAGTTCATTGCAGCTCCTCCCCTGCATCTGGAAAAAGGGATTACACACAAGTTTCCATCTTCCTGATAACAGAATGAATAATCACTTTGATTGTTTAGAGGTTACCAAGGCACCAGACACTGAATTCATAAATCCATGCCCTTTGCCCATGATCACTCATTTTTAATGAGGTGAATAGCTGAACACCCGCAATACCAAGGTCCTTTGTGCCTCTGAAACATTAGCAGAATTGTCCAAAGTGCTGTTTACAGGGTTCTGGCATAAAAATTCTGACCAAGTTCCTTATTTTTAGAATATTATGAACACATTCCTAAGGAATGCTTTGAAGGATTCCCTCACCCCTCTCCCAAAAAAGACCTGCAAATTCAGACCAATGGGTTTGCAGCTAGAGAATCACCCATGGCACTTACATATGTATTTCAGAGATGAACAGACTTAAATTTACATTATAATGGACAGTACATGCAGGATTAGGTACTGCACAAAGGCAGACTGGTTACACATCTCTTGCAACAATGCTAAACTTGCCTGTTATCTGTATTTGCACAAGCCTCCTAAGATGCCTTTGTTACTTCTCTTTCAGAAGATTAAAAGACTCTCCATCATCTGCTGACTGTTCCAGTTCAATGTGCTACTAAAAATACAGGATATTGTTTTTACCCTCTCTTTATTCTTCCATTCTATCAGAATCCCCAGGCAAGTGCCTGTTAAAATTTCAGTTCTTGCTTGTTTTAAAGATGTGTGAGCCAACACCTACCCAAGTAACTGTTCTCATGTTTCCTTAACCTTTTTCATTGCTGCTCTATTCCAGACATGCTTATCTTCTACTCACACTTTTCTGTTTAGTAACTTTTCATTTCTTCTCGTGACCAATAGTTTCAGGGTTCTGGATAAATAACCAAAAAAGACCTGATGCAGTCTTCTCTTAGAAAACTCTTCTGAATGCAGAGATTTGAGATTTGATACTTCCACCTTTTTCTGTTTTTCTCCCTTTGCTTTTTTCCATTTCTGCCTCGTAGTCTGTTCTCCCTCTGACACATCCTCTCTCCCATGCTTCCTCTTTCACAAATCCTAGATTTTCTACATCCTCCAGAACTACAGAACAGTTTTTTTAAAGTCAAACGATTCCCATTATTTTACTCTATGTCCCATACATACCCACTCTCAGAACTCATATTTTTCCAAGCAGGTCCTCAATGGTCTCTGCTCTGATCTACACTGAGGCATCTCAGTGAAGGTAACAGCAAATACAATTGCAAGTAAATACTGTAAAGCTAACTGGAATAGTGCTTTAAGATGGAAGGGTTCGTTAGATTAATCAACCATTGTTGCTTAAGGTCAAAGTATCAGCCAAATCCCTTCTAATGTGAGCTAATGATCTGAAAAGGCAGTTAGATTAGTCAGTTTGTGAATATTTCTTTGTACCTACAGTCAATTCCAAAGACAGCCCAAGGTGACAGCAAGGACACATCGTGTGGATGCTCACACATCCTGGATCAGCCTCCAGGAACACGTCCTGTCTGTGCTGCAGCAACAGACAGCTGCGCTTGGTGTGATCACACAAAATGTACCAAAGGAGCACAGACTGTGTTTACCTAACTAATAAATATTTAAAACAGAAGCCTACACCCCAAGGTTGCAAAAGTCTTGATAATTACCATGCATCCTGTTTATGTCTCTGTCCAGAGAGGCAGCACAAGTAGCATGAAACAGGTGAAGACATTACAAAACCAAACCATAAATTTAAGTTTTTAGCTGTTTTTCCTATGGCCCATGGTTTTATTTGCATTATGTAAATAACACTGAGGGATGATCTGCTTCTAAATCTACCCGTTTTATAAATGAAAGTCAGATAGGCTCATATTTTATACTTCTCCCTGACCCAAAATTGAAAGTAAAAGCACAGAAGACACATCTTTTTTGAGAAAAAAGGACATGTAATGTAATGCTTAACACAATTCTGTGTTAAGTATCCCTGTGGCCTTGAAATTTTCCTGACTCATGATCTTCTGTTTACCTACACCATCAAAAAACTTTTAACAAGAATTATATCAGTTAAACGAGGCCTTATCTTTTCCTTAACAGCCACATTCCAGGCATTTCTAAAATAACCAGTTATCTTTTACCTGTTCACTAGTTACACAAGGAACGAAAATATTCGTGCTGTTACTGAGGTTAATATTGTCTATTCAGTAAAATTACACATTTATAACATTGAGCTCACCAAGAAAACTTACTATGCTCTGACGAAAGGTAATTTTGTTTTTATATCTTTTCATATCCCTCTACAGCCCATGAAAATCATGTAACATGTAGGAATATTTTACATTAAAATAGTATAACAATAGGGAAAATATGCCACAACAGACATGAGTGTTCTTAAATTCATGAAGAATGCAAGAAGCATCACTGTTCCAACTTTGAAGCTCCTTGGGTGTTGAATTTAGATGTCCATCTCAAAAGAGAAGTGGCAGACATTATACAAAGTCTTATCTAACCCATGAAATCTGTACACAGAATGCCTGTGCTTACACATTGGGGAACTAAGATACAACGAATACAGCAGTAACCTCAGAAGTCAGTGGAATTCTGTCTGTATTTTTATGTAGTGCTGGTTTTAACAAAGGTGTTGCTTAATTAGTACACGGCAAAAATTAAGCGACTGGTGCTGGAGAGACTGAGAAACAGAAATATCACCTGTAGCAGATAAAGCACATTTTTTCAGGCACAAGGTCTGCTCTGCTGACAGGAGTGGGCTGGCAGCAGCAGAGAAAATAGGCACTGTCCTAGATTCCATCTGCACCACAGCCCCACATTCACTGCACTCATATTCTTGAACCAGGCCTGACACAAGTTTCTGCTTGATTCTCACCATGATGTACAGAAGCAAATTCCCCTTCTGGCTTCTTTACAGCCTATTTTTTTTTTTTTTCTGGGGAAGAAAAAAATGTTTGCTATGCTTCTGTATTCTTGCTTAGGAAATAAAAATTATTTTACTTCTTAGTTGTGATGCTTAAAAAAAACCAAGAAAATTAAAGCGTTTGAGGATACATGCAGCCAAAGTATCAAACTGAGTTTAAGACTAAACACTGCTCAAACTTGGCTGAAAGCCACAGACAGTAAAGTGACACAAATTTCCAGAGTGTTATCTCATTTTCATTTTCTTGTCTATATATCCAAATGAAAAAGAAACGTCTGTCTATACATATCTTCACATTCTGCCCTCAGAAGCTTAGCTGTAGCTTCCAATGACACTTCCAAATTTAACCATGACAGTGAAGAAAGAGACTGATGGATGAAAATAAGCCAAATCCCAAACAGGGACACTACAATTGTCTGATAGCCCTTTATTAAGCAAGACAAGAGAGGCTTCAGGATATGCAGATTGTGCACACAATCTGACAAGCACAATATTCCTTTGTACTTCATGGTGAAATAAACAGCCTCACACTGTCACCCATTGTCTATGATGGACAGAAATCATGGAACAGAATCAGAATAGTTTGTGATTCTCTCTACCTAAAGTACTAACAATTCAAACAACCCAACCAACTAGTCCTTACCTGTGAGTTAAGTTCTCATATGCTTCTTTCAGGGTATCATATCCTAAATATGAGTATAAAACAGCCAACCTGACACAAACTCACTCCCCCTTCAGTTTTTGAGTTCAGTCTCTAACTCTGTACCATCTGCCAGCCTTTCACAAAAGACAGGGGGAGCCCACCCAGTACAGTATTGCCTGCAGCAATTTTGTTGCACCCAGATCCATCATTTCATTTTAATCTCTTGCACTGTTTCATTTTTATTTCACGGATGCATAGCAGTAAAAAAGTTAATCTATAAATTTACTGCACTGATACAGATTGAACAAAATACAGCACAAATTTCATGAGAAGTCTGGACTCCAATGAAAAAGGCTAAGGCAAGAGCTGCCAACATAACTGATAAAGAACCACTTCTGCTCTGACATCAAGCAGTAAAAGAAGTTATAGGAAGGATCAGCCCCTGAAAGAGCTGGCGTGTGGTTCATTAGCTGATTCTGCAACTGAAGCACCTCCAAATGGTACTGAGCCTGAGACATGCAGAAAAGCAACAAACACAGCAAGCCGTCATCGTGTCACATTAGGGCAGCTCAAAATCACCTCCTTCTAGTGAAAGATTTGAAAGAGCAGATTACAACCAAATGTCACGCCATGGTGTATTTATAGTTTTCTGGCATTCCTTCCGACACTGCAAGGTCTTTTCTCTCCTCCCTCAGCAGCAGAGGCAGAGACTTGTCCTGCCCAAACAGGAGAGCACCTGCAGCCAGGCTCTGACTGCCTGACTTAGTTGAGCAATCCAGCAAAAACTGTGCAATCCCAGACATTACCCCTGCAGTTCATTTCTGTAAATCACATTAATGTACTTTAAATACCAAAAGCATTTTTCCCATCTTCCATTCCCATTTTCTTAGGAGTCAGCAATTAAAGTCAGCATAGGACTCTAGATTCCAACAAGGGCTGTGATGTTAAATTTGATTATTTTTTGCTGAAGATGGATTTTTTGACCTTAAATTGTAAAGTCCAAGGCAGAAAAAAAGCAGTTCCCTAATTTCAATTATCCCTATTTCCAAAAACGGGGCACAGTTCTCACAGGACAGTGTGAGGATTATCTAACATTGGTAAAACTTGTTCTCAAAGTGCTTTAAGCACTTTCATTAACCTGAAGTCAGTTGAACACAGGTGATTAGCAGACACCTGAACATTGTTTTTAGATTTTTTTTAATTAACCTGTGCAGTAAAAGGATCACAGCATGACTAGTCATGAGGCATGTGTGCACTGTAAGTTAGTGTAAAATGAATTTGACTAAAGCAATCAATAACACAGACAATAAAAATCTACAGGTAATTCATTGCTGTCCGGCTTTAGAGACATGAGGAAAAAACAGTTCATGAGCAGTGATTTTTTTGTTGCTATTTCCATGCACTATGGCTATACTATCAGTGGGGTATTTTTTTTAATCACAGAGAAACTGTAAAATACAAGTAGTTGGCACAATTCCTCAGTGTTTTTTCATTGCTATGAAACTGGCTGAATAGATCCCATCTAGCTCTGAATTTATAAGTCTTTCAATTGTCTAAAAGTACCGAAATTTAGAAACTACTCAGAACATACATTATTTAAATTGCGTATGTTTTTTTCTAGTCTCAGCTAATAAGGACCTATCTCTTACACATCATTGGTTTGCACAGTGAGCCAAATAATGTATTTATTATCTTCATATCCTTAACATTCTTTGATATAAAGCCCACTTATCTTTACGTGTATTATGGGGGAAATAACAGCTCATCAAATATGAGGTCCCACTGAGAAAAAAATTGGTCACATAAGAAAGTAACTACAAATTGTCCAATGCTAATTCTTAACATTTTTTTCTCATTATCACATTACTCAGAACCATAAAGTGAGTAAGGCATGAGTAAATATCTATCCTCCTCATAAGCAAATTCAGATTCCTCCTAGGGCAATGGGCCCATAAGCTTAAGCCAGTCTGAGGGTTGCTGCAATCAGATCCAAGCTGACGAGAGACTGACAGAGAAGCTACTCTAAGTGCTACAACTAAACACCTCTGTACAAAAGGAATTATTACTATTTAATGGTGGGCCCAATTCAGTTTGCATGAAAGTCTATTTAATCTATTCTGTAAGTAATATTTCTAGATCCTGAAAAACCAAGTACTCTGCCAGACAGTGTGTGAAAACCTGAGTGTATAAAAGACTCCAGGACAAAAAAACAACTAAGGATAATGAAGATAAGGAATCCTTATCTTCAGCATTTTACTTTGCATTCCTTAGAATGTTTGCCTTTCTCAGTAATTTTACAGTTATTTTTGCCTTTAAGTATCACTAAGAAATACTATTGTTTCTCTTCCTACTGTCATACTGCTATTTAGACATTGAGTCTGGCAAACTTCACCAACTTGTTTGACTTTGGTTTATCAAAGTATAAATGTGGTGAAGTTGTGGAGCCTGTCCAGCTTCCCTTTTTAGTCTTCATCCTTAAGACTAATGAAACATCATCTCTTGCAGTGAAACAGCTCTTATAGAACAAGTTCTGCACCAAAGCGGATTGTAATTTTTTTTCTGTGTGCACACTATTCACTTCTGCAAAACAAAAATGCCCTTCTGAACCCTTCTAAGCACATAACTTCCAAATCTCTTTCATTTCAGAACAATCTTGAATTCTTTATTTTATATTTTTTATTTGTACATCACCCTTTACCAAAATTAGCTGACACACACAAATATCAATATCCCCAGCACACCAACTACATTAATACTCAAATCTTGCACACTGTTACGCCTACATGAAATATAAAACCCTCTTTTAGGATCAAGAGGATCCTGATCAAGAGGATCCTGATCAAGATACTGTTTAACACAGGACCCTGTTCCTGGTAACAATTTCCTGCCCTTTGATATATAAATATGAAATAATCAAGTTTTAAAGGTACCTCAGTCATAAATCACCTACAATATCTGTTCCTCTACCACTGTCCTATTTTACACGCAGTTTTGCCATCACTTACTCCAAGGCTTAGGCTCAAAGTTCACACCCAACTTGATGACCTTCCACATGTTGTTAAATCTTCTAAGATGACTGGGCTTTGGGCTGCCAAAACAACAAATATCAACATCTGTGCAGGGAAATGCTTACTTCTTATTTATAGAGAATATGATTCCTAAAACTTACACTTTTCTTTCTCTCAGTTTCCTTTGGTCCCTGCTCAGGCTGTGACACTTCATCAGGTGGCACTGTTAAGCGTAGCCTGCACACATTCATCTGAAAGAAGAACAAGATTTAGGTGTTACAAAAATGATTTTAATAATTTACTTTACAGAATGAACTGTACTGACGTTCAACTTTGAACTTACTTATTTCTGTTTTCTACCGCACAGCTGTCAAAATATTCTTTTTAAAGGTTAAAGGGGTTTCTAGCTGGCAAAAAATAATTTAAGGGCATCTCCATAATTACATACCTGAAATAGTGAAAATCCATTTCAATCAACAAATCGTTCTTAGGTACTCATAAATGACATTGAGAGCTGAGATAACAGAACAATTAACATAATTTTCTACTTTCTGAATTTTGTTTGCTGAATTGGCATACTTTTATTCTTCAAAAGGGATTATTTAGAAACACAGAGTGTATTTTAGAGTAAATGCTTCTCTTCTGCTCAGCATATAGCCAAGTATATGCCTCAATACTGCAACTCCACTAAATGTGAAATAGGAGTAGTATTGAAATCTGATATGTACAAATGGTTTGTAAAGTTTCAAAACACTTCAGAAAATAAGTTAAGAGGTGGTGTTTCCTAACTGATTTTAGAGCAGCCATTCTCTTGCCAGCAGTCATGATACCTTTCTGCAGCTGCAGTTTGCCTTGCTTTGGGCTGAGACATCTTCAGTTTAATGGTGTTTTCCAAGCAATACATTTCATACAAGAAACTTGTTGAAAACATTCAGTCTTGGTCCTATTCATGAGACATTTTTGTGGAAAACAACTCTAATTCCTAAGCAGAGCATAGCAAATGATGCTGTCCAAATTCAAAGCTACACAATACCTTCCTATAAAATCCCAGCTGTCTGCTGGCAACAAAGAAAGCTCTTAAAGCTCTTCCTGAAAACCTCTGAAGCATCTCTTTCATGATTACTGTGGGCCATCATCACTATTGTTCTACAGCCCAGCATCTCATCTGATCTAGATCTCTGCAGTTTCTCCTGAAGTCACGCTGAATGTGCATCTCTCTCACACCCACCTTCCCACTGCACTTGTCCCAGCTAACAGCTCTCATCTTGGTCATTACAGCACCTCTTTTTGCCTTGAAAATGGCAATAATGTTCTGCTGACTGCATTCACAGCACTGCAGGAAAGCCCTTCCAATACACCCCAAATGTTACCAATTTACAATTCATTTCTTCCATCTTTTAAGTCATTTAAGCTTCCTTGACTGCATTTTCAAGCCTCTTTACAATACAACTTCCTCAGAGACCATTATTCAGCACCACAACAAGAATCCCTAATTTCTGTTTCCAGACAAAAGACCTTTTTCAACTTTTCAAACAGGCTTTAACTTTTTCTTCTTCCCAAGCAAAAACAAATGGAAGAACTATCTGCAACTTCACTATTTTTCTTCTGGCTTTTCTTTAAATCTGTTGAGAGAACAAATCAATAGCATTTAGACTACTGGCATGTTGTCAACTGTATTTTAGAAATGTTATGTACTGTCTTCCTTCTTCCTCTCAGTTTGGTCTTTCAGGTCTGCAAGGCCAGTAAGAAACAGTGTCCTGATACAGATAAAATTCTTATAAAATATGCAAGATGTGTCTGTATTATAAAGAATAAAAAGGGGGGAAAAGCCTATAAGAAGATCAAGATGAAATATAACCTATTCTGTAGACATATCTGTGAAAGCAATGTTTTGTGCAGTGGCCTCCTCCCTGTTGATTTATCATTCATCCATATGCCAGAAAACCCAGAACAAGAAGCCACAAAGTGACATGAAGCCCCCAAAACCTAAAGGCAGTTTACACTTTCATATTTGCTAAAGAATACTGAAACAATTAAATGCATTTTAAAATTATGAAACCTTGTACATTGGCTTTTGATACTGATTGGCTACTACGTTTGTTCTAAGAACACCAGACTGTCTCCATTAACTACAGAAGCTGGTGGTATTTCCTATGTACAGATTAGTTATCCAGATACATTAATAATAAATTTATCATCTATGGAACTCATTAATTCATAAGATAATTAACATCACCTTTCCTCATCTATTTCCTTGTGCCCTTTCTTCCCATTAGCTTATTAGGGCTCTTTCCTCTTAAAACATTCCTGTTTACAACAAGAAAGGAAACACAGACTGGCATTCCTCCATGTAGGCAAACAAAGACCAGAGCCATAAATAGGAAATATAAGTGAATTTGTGCCGTGCAGGAAGTGATAGATGAGGCCAACCTTTCTTATAGTGATTTCAAACAAAGGAAAACTGGACACAAAGGAATAAACATGTTCCTAGGACAAAGCATTAAAAATGCCTGAAATAACTAGAAATAGATAATGACTGGCAACTCAAAGTTAGGAGAAATGAGGTTGTGTATGATTCTCTGAAGCTAATAACTTGCCTATTAATCAGTACGAGGCTAATTATAGCCAACAGAGATTCACAGTGCAGTGACTGTAAATAAGTAATTATCTCTGTACCTGTACACCAGTGAGTGAACCACGGCTGCCCTTCACATCACAGGTGCTACAGGGCTACTTTGAAGGAAGTCACAGAAGTCCAGTATAGATGGCAGTCAAGTCATCACATCTATGCTGGAAATGCAAATTAACATTTGTTGAGACTAAAACCACTGCACAATCAAAAGGTTGTCATAATTTAAGCTGTTTTTCTTGCCCTTTTCACCTTGCCTTATCTATTACCCCCAAATCACTTACCCCACCCCACCCCAACTGGCAATCATAAGGATTCTTATGGCTTGAAGTTGTGCCCAGCAAGGCTCGTAATAGCAATGGCAAAGTACCACCCAGTTTCTTGCTAGAACAAACTTACACAGGCTGTACTCTGCTCTTGCTTACAACAATAGGACTTCCTCAGCCTCCCTGGGGAAACAGCAGCAAATGTATAAAGTAGCCATGCAGTCCTGCTCCTCCTAGGCACCAGATGATGCATTCTACCTCAGGACAGCACTACAGACCCATCTGCTAAAATTCAGAAACACTACGGAGATTGGAAAGGAAAAACAACAGGCACTGCTTTTTCCTCCAGCCCCCAGAAGCAGTTCTGAACACTGCACAGGCACTATTCTTGCTCTGCAGGCCTTCCTGAAGGAACAACACACTGTGCCATTTGTCGGTGAGTTTACTTGACCAAATCAATAAGCAGGCTCTCATGGAAATCACAGCAAGCCCTCCTCCCACAGCAAACACTGCTGTAGTGATGCCTTAAAATGGAAGTGAAATCCTAACAGGAAGAGCCTCAACTCAATGCCAAACAGTGGCAGGATAATGTGCAACTGAGGAAAAAAGGTAATTTCCAGAAACAAACTGGGTAATGCAAAGAGAAAATGGGGAGGAGAATGAGACCTACTCTAACAGGGAAAGAAAGAGCTGCAATTAAATTTCCTTCATCTGCTTACTGACACTAAGAACAAGTGAGAAAACACAGGGACAGAGATGACTTCCACCTTACCTCTATGTCATTGACATTGTAACTTTGTGAGCATAACTTTTAAAAATAAATACTGGGTAGAAGAAGAACGAGGTATCTTTCTAACAATCCTACAAGACTGTCTAACTTTTGTTTAATTTACAGCATCTGTAGATTTGGCAAGTCAGCATTATAAATAATCTCGATTGTGCCAACATTTTATGCTCACTCCTGGCTTTTTGACACCAACAACCCATAAGTGGCATTTCCAAAGCTCATCTGACATCATTTGTGAAACAAAGACACAGACAGGAAAACAAAGACTGAACAGGTTCCCCCCAGCACAACACCAGACAGCAGAAAAACCAACAGGTGAAAACACTTTTTTACCAAATTTCTAGGAGGCTAGTGGGACAGCATAGAGGAGAGCTACTGCAATATGGCAGTTAAGAAAAAAAATAAAATCTAGCTTCGTTTAAAATGTTGGGAATGCATGGCCCAGATCCACAATCCACATGTATGTTTACCATCCTACTCAAATCACTAGGGTGCAACTTTAAACAAATACAGATGACAGATTCAATTTAAGTAATGTTCTTCAGCCTCTTCTTCCCCTGTTCCAAAAAACAAAGCACCCAAAAAGGCATAAATCAGAATTAATTGTGGGCTGAAATAATTACAGATTTTTGCATTACAATCAATTGTTAAATTAATGAGCAATGCTCTTACAGAATAACCAAAGTTATTAGTACAGCAACAGAAAAATACAGGCTGTTCTACTAGCAACCAGTCTCTAAGCATATTACAGGAGCCCCACAGGAAAATGGTTCAGTATTGATCTAACTTCAAAGCAGCCCTGGAGTTCAACATCACCAGAATTTAATATTGTTGATACTGACAAAAGAAATGGGGATAACACTTTTGTAGGGTAACTATCTACTACCCTATCAGCTCAATGGCCAAAAGTCACTCCCTTCACCTAAAGACCAGCGTTGGCTTTAGACCTTTGAAGGTGAAAGCAGAAAAACAGTTCATGTTTCATTTCAGTCCTAAAAAGCAGAGAAGAAAGTACTCTCTTTGGTCATTTATCTGTTGAGTAGCCTGCTCCATTTATGAAATCTCTGCCATGAGATTCTACACACAATTAAAGGGCAATTCTCCTGTGACCACAGGCGCACAGGAATGTGACACACATCTTTCATTTATTCAGCAGTTATTCTGTCTCTCTCCCCTCCTCTGACAACTCGTGATAAGGGAGCCACACTTCACTAAAAAAAGGGACAAGTTTCCAGTGGGTTGTAGTCACAAATTAAATTTTTACCAGTCTTCTTAAAAGAATGTATCAAATACAGTTCATCATTCCCAAGAAATCAATCGAGGGGATTAAAATAAGAAGCTTATCACTTAAACAGAAGTTCCCTTACTGTAACTTCTTTAAGAAATGCAAGAACAGGGAAACTCAATGGGAATACAGAAGACATATAGGGAATATAACTATGATTTTCAAATCACTGTAATTTTTCTTATGCATGAACAATTTCATTTTTTATGAAGATCAGGGATCTTTTTGTCAGGAAGGCCATTCTGACCTTCTTGCTATCATGTAAAACCAGAGCAACACGACATTCTTCAGTTTTTAAATTAAGAACTCATATTTTTGAAGCATCAAAACAATAACTGCATAATTCAAGAAACAGCATGATCACATGGGTGTATTTTTGGTAAGGATAAGATTATCACTTATTTTGATTTCTTTCTTCACATGTGGAATCAACATTCACGATGATAACAGTGTAGTTAACAGCAGCAAGAAAAGGGTTATTTAAAGCTGGGCAGCTGTAGAGACATTCCTGTCATATCTGCCTGAGTTTTAACAACTTTTTACAAGCCTAACTGATTAATACATGGTTATTACTTACTGCATTTATGAATTTTTTTTAAAAAAATCAGCAGATTACATATCTGCATTTGAGGAACTGATTATACAATTAAATTACTATTACCATCTAAATCATTACGGTGAGCTTTCTCATGATAGGATAGGCGAGTTTGCAATTGTAAATATCCAGGCACGTTTCAAGGATGCGGGGGAAGTCTCCAATACAAGTACATCTCCCTCGCAGGTTTACAGAACAGGCCAGGTCTAGAACTACAAAAGCCTTGCAGAACTCCCCAAAAACTCTTCCTTTCTCCCCACCTACAAAGAACGCAAAAAAAGATGCTCTCGCACACCGCAAGCTTCACCTGAAAACACCGAAAGTACGGAAAGGGGGGAGGTGGGGAAGAGAAAAGCGCTCCGCAGGTAACTACACGAGGGGGGATGTCAAGCCTCTGCTTCGCCCCGCGACCCCTCCCCGCCTCCCCCCGCGCTGCCCCGCGCACCTTCCGCCGGGAGCGGCCACCGTCGCCCGGCGGCCTCCGGGGGGTGGTGGCGGTGACCGTGAGCCCGGAGCTGTAGCGCAGCATCCCCGCGGGCCGCCGGGCCAGCGCTCTCTGCGGCTTCTCGGGCCGGCGCCGCCGCTCCGCTCCGCCCCGCGCACTTGGCCGCGGGCGGCCGCAGGGGCCGGGCGGGGGCGGGCCGGGGCTCCGCTTCCCCCTCCGCCCTCAGAACTCGCGGCCCCGCGCCGGCTCTCGGGCGGCCGAAGCGTCCGATTTCCTCGTGTGGGGCGACACTGCGAAAAGCCCCTGTGGGACGCTGAGGTGTCAGTGCAGGGGGGCATTCCCTCTGCTCACGGAAATATTGGGTGTCGGGAGAGGAGCTTCGAGGGGAGACCCAGAAAGGTCCTTTTGTCACACAGCCACCTCCCGGCACTGGGAAACGGGGTTAGGGCTCGCAGGAACCACGGGCGGCCGCTCAGCCCCGTTCTCTGGCACCCACCTCTGAGCGCTGTAGGAGAGTGCTGTGTGAGAGCTGGACACTGTCCTCCCCTTCTTCCCACAGCAATTCGTGAGCCGGCCAGGTCTGTCAGTTGTTGTCCGTGCTCCAGGAATGTGTACCAGGCTCACCAGAAAGCACGCGATCTCTGACAGCCTCGGGGCTCACAGGCACGAAGCCGGTGCGGCTCAGTGCGTGAATGACAGCATCAGCCCCAGTGCCAAAGGTCCAACAAGGTGAGTGTGGTCTGCCCGAGCCGGCTGGCCCCGAGCCAGATTGCAGGTGTGGACTTCAGCATTTCAGCTGCTCAGTTCTTCCGGATCTGTGCTGAGGGAACGCTATAACCCTACACCACCCTACACGGCCTAGGCACACATCTCCATCTGCAGCCTTGGGCATCTGTCACGAGCACTACATTCCTCAGTAATCAAGGAAGTTATAAGCTAAAGAGATGTTTTTGTTTGAAAGAAATGACAGAACAAATAACTTAATGAACATTCTAAAAATAATTTATGTCCTGTCTCCAAGTAATTAAGACCACAAGAAAACAGAGTTATGGCTACACATGTCCTTACCCCTTAAGATGTCAGAGACCAGAGAGCTGAAGAGAGGAAATCTGCATTGGAGAAATGGAAACTGCACTGAACTATGGGTGTCTCACCCTCTGTGTGCAAAATGCCTCTGTTTGCTTCTGCCTCTCAGCTCTCTGTCACCAGGGCAGGATATTGAGCTATCGAGCTATCAGCATGACAAGGACCCGAGGAAGAGAGAAAGAAATCATTGCCCAGCACAGAGGAATGAATGGAAGGTCTGCATTTAATATTCAGCATCTTTTTTGTTTTTCTCCTAATTACTGTCCCCTTCTCCTCCTGGGGAGGGTAATATAGCCCGAGGCAAATTAATTAGAACATCCACTTGTATTTGGATTTCTCTTAAGGCAAGATTGAGTGTTACATGATTCTTTTTGTGGCAAGGTGTCTTGTTCCTACAAACAATTGCATTTCCATATGAATCACCCCCCCATCTTAAGTCCTCTTTGTAATGCTGCTTTTGTGGGTTTGCAGGTGGATAATAGGTGTGTCATCATCAACAGGAACAAGTTCCTTCACAAGCATGTTGTCTACCCATGGGGCTATTCCTTAGCACTTGCTCCTGGTCATTCTGGTCAGTGTATTTAAGTTCTGGTATGCAGACAGCTCTGTGGTTTCAGCTGAGAAGTTGTTCACAGACCTGTGAGATTGCCCTGGTTAGTCACAAGTTGCTTTGCACTGTATTTCCCTCTAGAACAAGGTGTGTTCGTGGGGCTGCCCAGTCACTGCAAGAGAGAAACACAACTGCTTTTGTAAGAACAGGAACAGAGATTAAATTTGTACTACAGTGTGGAAAAGGATCTCCCTTCCTCTATAAGAGTGTGGCACAGTAATCATTGGCATGAGAGAGCACAGCACAATGATCACAACTCTGGGAAAACTTGCAAGATCTGCATCAACTTTGAGAATATTGATAATTTTTATGGGAACCTCATAAGCGCAGATGAGCAAAAGACTTGTCCGTGGATAACAGGCAATAAAAATACGGTTTTCTCAGTTATGTCTATTTTAGTTGCAGCTCTCCCCATTTCTTGGAAAATAGCAGAAAGACACGTTTATTTGATTTACCAATATTTGTTTGAAAAGGAGCATCTTCTATTTAATCCTCAAAATTAATATCCTCCAAGAAAAAATAACCTACATGCATGGTGAGTAGTCTCCCTATTTTGGATACTCAGAATCTCCTTCCCTTCCCCCACCAACAAGATGCACAACTGTAATAATGAGAATAATTTGTTTGCTGCCTTGCTACTTGACCACGCAACAATTTGCAGTCTCTTCACCCTTTGTTTAGCCTGTGTGACCCTTCTTTGAATGAAATCAACATTTGGAACAACTGTTTCTTCATCCCCAAAGCTCTGCCTACACTACAGGGATTATTAAGCCAAGCACTTGTATGGAGTGAACATCTGGTACTCCCCAGGTGGCAAAAAGAAAGCTCAAGAGAAGCTGTTGATGCAATATGAGACACACACAGCAGAGCTGAAAAAAAGAACTCTGGAATTATTTTTTGGATTAAGAAAGGATAATCAAATTTGTGATCTTTGGCTTGGACAAAAGACAGTGTCAGGGAATGGGTGATAAAGGCACAGAAGATCATGACTGGTATGCAGAAGTGAGCAGGGAATAGCTGTTCATTATTTCCTACCCTTGAGAACAGTGGATTTGAAGAAAACTAGGCACCACATTTCTGTGTGAAAATTTGTCAGAAGAATTACTGATCCTGAAGGGTATAAATGCTCCCAAAAAGTAGCTGGGTAAGCTCATGGAAAACAAGCTACAAGGGCTATGAAACATGAAGACATGCCTACAACTATTAGACTAAACTACAATTAGACTCAGGAGGTCCCTGAAATGTGGATTTGCTTTGTTGATAAATCCCCAGTCAAAGGACCTCTGACCACTCCCTTGTCCTCCTAGGCAGGATTGACTCTCCACCAACAGTACTAGAGATGCCAGGCTTCTAGCAAGCAACACGTCTCCTCTGCTCTGGAAGGTGCTCCCATGCCCAGTTGTGCCTTGCCTTGGGCACACTCTGCATGTATTCATGGCTGCAGCTCATTATTCCACATTTTCCATTCTCTCTCACCCCCAGTGGAGGTTTAATACAGTCACTCTTTCTCCACAATCTCCCTCTTTCACTCCCTGACACCCCAGGGAGAAGTCTCTGCTTGGTTTCAGCTTGTCCCTTCTTGCCAGGCCCCATTACCTCCTTGGTTCTGATAATCTGAAGTAAATTTGCCACAGTTTACAGCTCTTTTTTCCTGCAAGAGTCATTGTACACTGCTGTGAGCATTTCATACTGTGCTTGGAACATGACACTAGTTTACAGAAAGAAGATGGAGGAATAGAAAGTAAATCACTACTTGGGAATTAGTTTGACTAAAATAACCCTGTTCTGCTGATTTTTACAGCTGGACAGACTGCCCAAAAGGTATACATAATCATACAGATTGCTCATAGACAATATACAATATGGTGGCAGAACATAATCTGACCACGATGCTGAGCTTTCAGTTCAAAACCTGCTAGTGCTTTGTGACTGCAGTGGTCCAAAGGCACAGCAGGTCAATTAGACGATGACACTACAGAATGAATATCTGAAGCAATAGTTATTGTGAAAAAGCTAATATAATTACATAGAAACAGCAATAAATTTAAAGCATAGGCATCTTTTTTGGTTTTTGTAACTACTCTGTTTCCCATTACCAGCATTACTGACATATTTTTTTCTCAGGAGGCCCAAAGACCATTATGCTGTGGGAGAAATTAAATGGGATGGCACAGAATCAACAGGCCTTTCTATGAAAAGCCCTTGATCACAAGATGGACACAGAGCATACAGTACATGGAGGAGGAAGAAGGTTTGCCCTCCTAGAACAGCAGGAGTGGGTAGCCTGGTCTTACCATAACAAATTACCTAATGTAGACATGATAAAAGGCTGATTTATTTTTTCCCTGTCAAAATCTCCTGTCCATCTTCAGGCTAACTGCTGAAACAATCCAGAGGAAAAAGAAAAGTTCCTGTAACACATGATCAACTGGAATATTAATCCTATGAGATTTGGGAATAATTGCAGTCACAAATTGTACAAGAATTCACACCTGTGGTCATTAAGGTTATAAAGTCCCATTCATATTGCTACAAAAATGAGGTTATAATTAACTTCTAATAGCCTTCACTTTCCAGGGGGATTAAGATCTATTCTACCTTCATCATCCCTAAGGCATGAAACCCATTTATAGCAGAGATTATCAAATGGACAGATGCATGTAAAATATTTCAGAACCAGACTTCGTAAGAACTGGAGGTTTGCTCAACGATGTTTCCTCAGGAGCTGTTTCTTTTTTCTGCCAGCTCTCACTGTTGTATTCTACAAACACACATTTAGCATCATGAACTGTCAGGCTCTCTTTTTTGGGTGTTTCAGCTCATGTGACAATTTTAGCCTGCTAATGGTGAAAAAACAGATACCAGAAACTAAGCCCCCAAAGTCAGTTGTCATAGGTGCTCTTGTATGCAATATACAAACCAATATATAATACTGCAGTTTTTCTCTTGAGTAGTATTTTTGTCTTTTATTGGCAAATACATCTTTGCTGCATTTGCAGCTGTTACCCTTTTGATTTGACATAACACATAGAGCTATCTGAATGTCCAGCTTGATTTAGCTACAAGCATCAAATCATTTCTCAGACCTATTGATATAATTGTTTGCTCTCACTTAACACTCTTGCTACATGGCTAATTCAAGATTACTGCAAAAACTCACTTTCCTGCTGATCTTACACACACAAATCTATAATTAGGAATTCCCACATCAAGTTGAAATGCAGAATACACATTTTATTGGTGCAAAGCCCTCAGTATGTATTTTATGTAATTATTTCAGTTATGGTTGAATTGAATAAAAAATTCCTGGAGTTACCTGCAATAATACCTTGCTTCCATCTTTACTGATAATGTAAAGTCACAGACTGCGATTACAGAAAAATGTTTCTTTTAATATCTTCTGCTTTTAATTGT